CACCTTTATTTATTTATTTATTTATTTATTTATTTATTTATTTATAATGTTTATTTACTTTTGAGAGAGAGAGAGAGTGACAGAGCACAAGCAGCGGAAGGGCAGAGAGAGGAGACAGAATCTGAAGCAGGCTCCAGGCTCTGAGTTGTCAGCACAGAACCCAATGTGGGGCTCGAACTCACGAAACACAAGATCGTGGCCTGAGCCAAAGTTGGATGCTTAACCGTCTGAGCCACGCAGGTGCCCTGAAGCACCTTTATTTTGAATAGCCTCCAGGAAAAAGTTGGACAAAAAGAGTGAATGGAGCATTCTGGTTAATAAGAGAAACTACACTAAAAGATCGTGGATTTTTTTCATCACAAGAGTGGTAAATTCATGTACAGTTTGCTTGAAAACATTTAATACCCTGTAATATATATATTCCATAGATTTAATGAACAACTAAGATTTCCTTTAACCAACATGTTTGTAAGGTCGTGACATGCTTTAAAGTTAAAGGTTATATTCTGGGAGATTAAATAACTTTGAAGTTAACAATCGACTCGCCTGGAGAGCTATTTGCTCTTTTTCAGTAAACATTGACGAGAAAAATTAATATATTATAAAAGAAACAGAGCACGCACACACCTATGCCCTCCCTGGCCAGTGCTCTTTGTGCATTGTGCTTCTGTGGCCCCCAGAATGTCAACGTTCACTTTATTATCTTTACTCAGCAATAGAATAACCAAAGTAGTGCTTTGAATTCTAGAAACTCTGGAATCCATAAGGTTCTGTCTTGCCAAGTTTTGCATGAAATATCGTTGTGACCTATAATCTGTCTTTTAAAAAAAAATTTTTTTTTTAGGTGCAATTATCAAAAGCAGAAGATTAACCCCAACCCGATGCTATTAGCCAATGTGCAGACAGACATTAAGCAAGTTTTGCTGGTTGCCCCACTGGCATGCAGTTTCTGGACCAGAATCCAATACAGGATCTCACATTACACTTGGTTATCTCATCTCTTTATTTTTAATTTTTAATTTTTTTTTAAGAGTTTACGGTTTTAAGTCATCTCTACACCCAGCATGGGGCTCCAAGTCACAACCCCAAGACTAAGGGTCGCCATGCCTCACTGACTGAGCCAGCCAGGCGCCCCTACGTGTCTTTAATGTACTTACTCACGGGCATTGTTCTATCTCTTTCGTGACTTTGACGCGTTCAAAGAGTACTTGGTCAGTTGTTTTTGTAGATTTCCCTCAACTCTGGTTTGTCTTACGCTTACTCAGGGTTAAATTCAGGTGTGCATTTTTGGCTAGAATATCACAAGTTGATGTTACCCCCCTGTGCCTCCCTTCGGAAGTTACGTGATATCCATACATCCCTTTACTGGTGATATTAACTTTGATCACTTGGTTTAAATGTTGTCTGCCAGGTTTTTCCACCATAAAGTTACTATTTTCCACATTGTAGTTAATAAGTAACAAGGGGGGGAGACACTTTGAGATTATGTAAATATCTTCTTTTTCATCATATTTTAGACCACTGATTTCATCATCCTTTATTATTTGTTAAAATTACAGCCTTATTAGGGTATAATTTCCCTAGCATGAAATTCACCCATTTTAAGTGCATAATTCAAGAATTTTAATTCATTTACACAGTTGTGCAGCAATCACGACAATCTGGTTTTAGAACACTTCTATCATCCCCCAAATTGCCTTCTCTCTACCTTGGGCCCCAGGCAACCATTGATCTACTTTCTGTCCTCCTTTGTACAATACAGTAATTTTTTCTCATTTATTTGCTTGATTTTTACCCTTGTTCATCTGCACACTAACAGACATAGACACTTAAGTCTAACACATTGTTTGGTATTTGACACAGCATGCTGATCAGCTTGGAAGTCAAGAGAAATAATGAGTCATTTACTGACATCAGACTAAAAATGGACTTTGGATATTCTACATATCAGCAGGACCTAAATGATCCTGTTGTTTAGATCTCCGGTAAGTTTGTAAAAGTCATCCCAATTAAATTATCTCTCTGAATATGTGAAGTCAAAGGCATAATCTTTGATATCTTATAAACACTTGGCAATTCTGATTTTATCACATCAATGTGCCTTGGAAAAATGTTAAGGTCCAGAGGCTTTGTTTCTTTGTTTTGTTTTGTTCTGGCTTGTTAGTTTCATAGGTTTTTGCTCCTTGGTTTGCTGTTTAAAATTATTTTCATCCAGAACCAATTTTACTAACCTAATGCAATATAATTTCAGGGATATTAGGTCTCTCCCACACCCTCCAGGGGAGGATAAAAAAGCTTCGTCGGTTTCACTGGCAGTATATAGGCCAAATATAGCCCACAGCTAAGTTTTTTCATAAAGTGGTGTTTTTAAAATCAGGACATTTGCATTTCTGAGAACTTACCTATCTGGTTTCTCTCTCTCTCTCTCTCTCTCTCTCTCTCTCTCTCTCTCTCCCTCTCTCTCTCTCTCTTTCTTTTGATTTATTATTGAGAGAGAGAGAGAAAGAGCATGAGTGAGGGAGGCTCAGAGAGAGGGAGACCCAGAATCCGAAGCAGGCTCCGAGCTCTGAGCTCTCAGCACAGAGACTGATGCAAGGGTCAAACTCACAAACCATGAGATCGTGACCTGAGCCAAAGTCACACGCTTAACCGACGGAGCCACCCAGATGCCCCTGTGATACATACATGTTTTTATAACTGGAGCTAAATAAGGGTAGTCCACGTGAAGAACAGAACCCGTGTCCTTCGGTTTGCTGTGTCCCCATTAATTCCCTATCCAATCTTACCAAGTCTAAATCACTTGGTGAAGCTCTTTGCCTAACCCCATTGGGCATTTGCGTTTGCTATCTTAGGTTTAAATTTTTTTTTTTTTTTTTTTTTTTTGAGACAGGGAGAGATCGAGCATGAACAGGGGAGGGTCAGAGAGAGGGAAACACAGAATCTGAAACAGGCTCCAGGCTCTGAGCGGTCAGCACAGAGCCCGACACGGGGCTCGAACTCACGGACCGCGAGATCATGACCCGAGCCGAAGTCTGCCACTTAACCGACTGAGCCACCCAGGCGCCCCTATGCTAACTTAGGTTTAAACCTGAGTCACACTTGTTGGTGGTGTTTTTTGTTTCTAATTGAGCCACAACCAACTTTCACTAAGCTTAAGGGGGCAGTTTAATGACTTTTTTTGACATAATCACAGATTTGTACACGGGAAAAATGAACTCTTTTTCTGACCTCACCTACACAGAGCACACCAAATATGCACCACTGTTTCTTATCTCCCCACACTTCATCATATTTGTCTTGGTTAGATTAATATTTATTTTAACATGATTAGAAATGTGTGAATGGTATTCACAGTGGAACCTCATGATGTCCTGTATTTTTTTTTCCTACTCGACTTTTCATTTTCCCTGAAGTTAATACTTTTCTTGTTTCTGTTTTTGTAGTTTTGTTTCCTCCCTATTGCCTTCTTATCACTAATTCACCTCAAACTCTCATACACGTGTCTAAATGTCCTTTTCATATGTTCAGATAGATAAGGCATTCTTTTAATTTCACCTTCTTAAACAATCTATCCTGGGGTCCGTAACACCTTGATCTTGGACTTCCAGCCTCTAAAACTGTGAGATGACGAACTTCTGTCATTTAAGCCACCCACTCTGTGGTATGTTGCCTGAAGCCCCAGCAAACGAATGCACAGTGTTTGGAAATTGCACAATAATGTACCTTGGAGTAGGTCTAATTTCATCTATTATCCGGACACTCAGTAGCTCTTACAATCTGCAAACTCATGTTCTCTCTCTGGAATTATTTTGTTGACAGTTTCCTTCCTTTGGTTTTCTCTGTCTCTCATTATGGAACTCCTCTCATGCAGCTACTGAACTTCTTATTCTGGTCCTCTAATTTTCTTTTCTTTTCTTTTCTTTTCTTTTCTTTTCTTTTCTTTTCTT